CATGTAGTCGACTGCGGTTTACGTCCCGGACTCGGTGGCTTAAAACTCACGCCAGGCGCATGTGCGTGCGTGCCCAGGATCCCGAGAGGAGAATTGAGGAGAAGGGATTGTGGCATGACCATCTCCCCTGGGGGTGATTTCTCGCTTTCTGTCTCTGTGTCTCTCTCTGTCTGGCGAGCGCACACGCCCTATAATGAAAACCTCCCAAAAAAAAGAAAGAAAATGGAAGTGTAATTTCAACATAAATATTTATAAGTAAAATGCTGAGATCAAGTATCATGATGGTAGTCTTCTAATAATTTGCTGTGGTTATTGTAGATATAAGTAGACCTAGTTAAATCTGTATAATTATTGGGAAAAATAGTAAGAGTAGAATTTGACCTAGTTAAATATTTATAATTATTGGGAAAAATAGTAAGAGTAGAAATTAAAATTACAGACTCCTGCATATTCAGTATAATTGCTTTTTTGAATATTTGAATATTTATGTTGGACTGGTCACTTGTCTCTAAACATATCTATCAGTAAACAATAGTCCTTGAGTTTATACATGAAAGTTTAGGCGGTTTTGATTAATATTAGTAAAATGAAAGAACGATATTTATCAATTTAGTTGTGCTTGCCAATCCTTTTTGTTGTTGTTGTTTAATGAGAGAGAGAGAGAAAGAGAGAGAGGGAGAATATTCCTGCTCACATTAGCATGCAAGAAGAGGAAGGGAGATGTGAGAGGACAGACATAGAGGTAGGTATTTTTAACAGGGTCTCACCATGTCATGATCCTTCGTATCCCAGCCTCCCAGTTAGCTAGGACCACAGATGAAAGCTGAGGCATCTGGACTATTTTGGTTTGGCTGGAACCGAACTAGGCTTTCAGTTCAGCCTCAGCCATCATGTAGCAGTGTCCTCCTGCTTACACCACCATGCCAGGCCAGATTGCTGCTGCTTAACAGCAAGGTCCTGGTGTTCTATTTTGACTCTAAATTTATTTATGTACAAGATAGGGATACTGAGTGTTTATGTGCTTGGCACAGTGCTAAGCTTTTTACTTCTCAGGATGAATGAGAAGTAAAATTTCCATATTCTTTTTCTTTTTTGGAGAGGTTTTTGCTATAGGTGCGTGCGCTCACCAGACAGACAGACAGA